TCAATGTTGGCTTTCTCGTTATCAGGCGAAGATCCGCCGGGCGTTAATGTATCAGATGTATGTCCAGTTGAGTAGTCGCGACTTCGTCGAGCAGGATAAATCGCCGACTCGCTGATAGGACCACCTGGGCCTACTCCATCGTCCCACTTCTTCTTCCTGCGTCGCGGAATTATCGAAGAAGGACGACTGTTAGCGCGACTTGGGTTATCCTCCTCCTTTTGACGGCGTAAGAAGCCTCCGGGAATTCCTCCTGCGGGTGGCAGGGTACCTGGTGGTAACTCATCCAGCCTCATATCCTCGCCATCCGTCTCCGAGCCTGCTGTCTTAGCTTGAGATCTGGAAATCGATGAGATGCGAGGGAGACGATTCATCCAAGAGGGCCCATCGTCCCCAGCTTGGGTATATGACATTGTGAGTGTCAGGGTATTGATGTGCTTGCCTAGAGTAAAGACGGCAATAGAGGATCCATGCACGATAATAGAGGAAATGACAAGGAAGGTTACAATTGGCCAAATTACCGTTACCAATTCCCAGTTCGGTGCATCTCGGTCAGGATAATCAGTTAATGGAGTTGTACTGTCAGTCTCAAGCTCGGCCCTCGCAAGAATAGCAACAAAGATAGCACCCACTCCAATAGGTCCAAAGTGACCAGCAAACAGAGCTTCTCGCCAAGTTTTTATATCAGGTATCAGAGGCTTTAGTGCCATCATGATTGGTATTCGTCGAAAGAAAATGACCAAGATAGCAATGACAGCGAGCCTCCATGGCGAAGTTCCGATTTCCGCATCATTGTACTGTTCCCACGGAATAATGGTACCAAGGTAAACAAAATATGCCAAATTGATAAGGAGATCGATGACGTTGGAAACATGAGATTCTTCTGTTTTCTGAGTAAACCAACCGTCGTTTGAGAAGCCAACGCCAGCCGCGAAGCCGACAAGGAGATCATCAACTCCAAGGATACTCCCTGAACCTGCACAGAATAGTGCAAGGACGAAATAGAACACGAGAAAACTCTCTCTGTCGACTAAATCGTGTCTTTCGGCATATTTGATTCCGTGCCTGCCAATGTAGCCGACAACGAAGCCATAAATTGCACCAAAAACACACTCGTAAAGAACTGTTATGACAATGAAATCGAATGTTACTTCCTTCGCATTGAGGTGGAATCGAATCAAATATAAGGAAAGGTAGATGAATGGGAATGCCATTCCATCGTTACACCCTGATTCGGCAGATAGAAGATCTCTCAAATGTTTCGGTACTCGTTTTGCGAATTTTCCTTTTCCAACCACCGAACTAGCGAGTACAGGATCCGTCGCCGTCACACATGCTGCAACACAAAGTCCCTGCAGCCAGTTTAGCGGCGGGATCAACCACCAAATGAAAAGACTCGTGATCAACCATCCAAAGGTCATCACAGGTAACAAGAGAAAGACTACACTCCTCCAATGTTTCTCCATGTAATGCCTAGGCAATTCGACCCCGACGGCAAAACATTGAACAACAAGGACGATTCGTGAGAACTCTAGAGTAATTTGATCGGTATTGCCCCAAGTGTCGGGGTCGATCAAGTTGGCGGCATGTGGTCCAAAGATAATACCACAAATCGTGGCGACAGTGGCTTCACCGATATACATGCGCTCCTTGATGAAGGAGGAACACAGCATAAACAATGAAGTGAAGCCACCCAAGATTATGTAAACCAAATGAGGTTTATTGATGGAGAGGTGATCCCAAGCCATCTTGGCTGTCTTAGATGGTTGTCGATCGGTATAGAATATGTATTAGAACAATCGCAATCGATTGGTACCGGTAACGATATCGTGCTAGCGAAAAGGCACTGTTGACGGCGGGGGAGGGGAGATATTGTAGCTCAATCGATTGGATTTCTTCTGCTCGTTATACCCCAATCAGTCGATTCCCTCAAAAGTATTGCGTGATGTCGCAGCATTCGAAATCTGGTCGCGCCCAGTCGCCGCTCCGCCGTTTATGAATATATGTTCGCTCTTCCTCCCAGACAGACACCTTTTTGTAATGATCGGAAAGCACGTCGAATTAGTGCGGCTAGGTTTCGCAGATGTTGCTTTTGAGATGATGATTATCAAAGTAAAATCAAAAATTAATGTTTGGAAGAAAGCGAAGAGGGTGAGTTGAAAGGGTTGTTTACTTCCTCACCACCCATACACGATTAATTCTAGTCCAAGATGCCAAGACCTTGGGAAGCCTCCACTTCTAATTATTTTAAGTGATAAAAGCAAGTTTTGCTGCGGATTGATGGCGGCGTCGGAGGAGAAGTGTGGAAATGTTATTTTGTTTGCCAAGTGGAAGGAAGAGAAGAAACGAGAAGAGAAGGGAAGGGAAGAGGTGTTGTGTGTTTCAATTTCATTCTTGGGGGGGGGGAATATGATATTTATTATTGTATGTGTGGTATGTATTGTATGTATTGTATGTGTGAGAGAGGAAAAGGACGAGGTCGAATATTCACAGTACGGAAGTGGAAGATTGATAAATTTGATTGGATGCTTTCTAGATAGTAGGCAAGGATGAAATTGCCTTCTTCCTTACTAAGGCGTGCTCCTTCATGAATAATGTACGAAGTACTCTGTAGGTGTACGAAAGGTAGGGAAAGGTAGGGAAAGGTAGGGAAAGGTAGGTATCGAGGTATCTTACCTACTTCGTAGTAGCCAGGGATTGAAAGATCCTAGTCAGGAAAGAAGTTTGGCTTTAACCTTTTCTTCCATATCCATATCCATACCCATATCATATCAAGATAATTATCACACGTCCCTGGAGTATAATTTTATTGGTAAAAACAATGAGACATTCGACAGCCTTTGCAACTTTTCATCCGCCTTACAAACCATCATCCCATGCACATCTCGCAAACTCGCGTTGGTGCACGCTGCATATGGATGGGATGTCATGGTCGGTACTTATTTGGGTATGGAAAAGAGTCTAAAACCCTTCATCCGTCGGTCAGTAAAGAGCAAAAGAGCAAAAGAGCAAAAACACAAAAACATACGTCACTCGCTAACCCCAGCCATCTCGTACAAATAATTCCTTTGATTGGCTTATTCATATTTTTTTCTGCCAAGGGACAAAAGGTGAGAAAACTCTCCACCCAAAACCCCACTCTCCTCTCCATTCGCTCCATCCACTCCCCACATTGATAATCACATTGACGGCCCGAGATCTTTCACTTCTACACTTCACTTCAAACACAACCAACCAACCAACCAACCAACCAACCCAACATTCTCTTCATCTAATCGCTTACGGCTACTCGGAACATTGGGTATCTAGAAGAAGATATTCGTCAAAGGATCAGATATATATAATAATAAAAATGTTCATCTCTTCGTTCATCTCTGGTGATCAACTTCTTGCATCTGCAATTAATAAATGGACCCCCACGCTGATACTCCAGTCTACAGTACATACTAGTCGGATCCTGATTTCCGGTACCGCTATGCGCGATGGATTTATCAGACTCCATAGAATGGCTTGGGAGTCTTTCCAGCTGCTGCAGAGTGCCCATTCAAGCTGGGAAATCAATTACCTACAGTAGTTGTAAGGGACAGTGCGTATGCAGCCCAACTGTAAGCTTGTTTAATTGATCTTGTGACGGTCGATTTTGATGATTAAAGGGGTAGAACCTCTACTGTTGAGCTCAACATTACCGACGCGCGGCTGAAAGGGTAGTCTCCTCAGCAGCCGAAGATGATCTTGTTGATATCCAGCGACTCCAGCGAGAACAGCTGACGATACGTACTACATCTCTAGAATATCATATCATGCTATGTTCCCTCGACAAATTGCTTAGTGAAGCACCATACTCTCCAAGTCTTTCGCGCATGAAGCCGAATGGGGGACGCCACAGATCGCTGGTCTCATCCACTTCGTCCATCAATGTTTATATGGCAGCTCATCCGTTAAATGTGCCGCCTTCCCCTCTCTAGTCAATGATCGCATGAGCTGGTGGTACAATCGTCAGGCACAATATATTAGTCATCATTCTAGGCTGAGTCTTTGCGGATGCAGGAGACCCTACCTACATGATACTAAAGCTACCTAGATATGCACAAGGTCGGATATTTTCCACCTGGCGCTTTCCCCATAGTAGATGGTATCACATCTCCTCTCATCTAATAACCGAACAACACATGTTTGACGACATGCTGTTCCCAAAAACAATTCCCATCTTGGCCACATCGGTAGTGTAAGCTGAGCCCAACAACAAGATCGCTTATTTCATGATCAACACAATTTCATGGAGCTGCATCTAGCTACTTAGACGTCAAGCATCTCAAAAATTTCTCTAGCCAATGCTATTCAAGAATTCAAACACGAGGCGCCGCGAGTCAGGTTATTTGGGCTCCCGGTTAATGGGGAGCATGCACAACAAATTCAATCGTGTCCTACACAAGAAACCAATCTGTGAACATCCTTTTGATTCCTAACATTCACGATTTGAATGAGATCGACCGAAACATCATTTAACATTCTCCAGCACTGGAGATTTATCTGGAAATGTGTAGCGTGTACAACCAATGCACAAGATCTAGAATATAAGATTTGGTGAAATCCGATGATGAACATTGTCCGGTAAACGCTGTACCTTCTTGGCAGATGGATTGTGCACTGATGTGGTTGTAAATTGCTTTGCCAGGAAGCGGTGAACACTACATTCTCCAACTCATCTGTTGCACATCTAAGGAATCCCTCGAGAGTTTCTATCCTCATCAATCCACATTGGGAACTAAAATACATCGTTGGGGAAATAAGAACATTTTGAGGGGTTTATTCCCGGGCTTTAGGTATTTTCGGTATTGGGTGAAATTCAATCTTTAATTTTGCCACATCTCACCGCCCAAATTAATGAAACCCCACCAGAATTTTTGAGCTTCCAGAAACACAATTCGATATCCCTCACTCCTCCAACATATTGAAATCTAAATCGGCCTTCTTGACATACAGCTAAGTAGCTGATATCTCCAATGCCTTTAACAGTGGCGGATATTGTCTTCAATGAGCAAGCAAATCACAATTTCTCAAAGACCCTTGGTGAAATCAAACGAAGTACTTTATCCATACATAATCGACTTCGATCAATTCTCGAAGACGCAGAATTCGCCCAGTCGGTCGCAAATGCATATAATAGACCACTTATAGCAAATGAGAGATGTGGAAGCTGGTATATTGATCCCACCAAGAAAGGAGGAAGTGCATACTTCAAAAGTACCGATGGTCATACCGGAGTCTGGAAATTCAGCTCCCGAAGATTGAATTTACATCTTTTGGAGATAATTGGGAAATATGATGGGTTGGTACTCAAGTGAGGTTTGAATAGAGTATACGCTGAAAGCTTCATGCAGATGTATCATTGTAGATTCTACTAGACGTGGAAAACGTTGGTTATTTCTTGGATTCTATTTCTCGCTCCAATATACTAATGATAAAAAGGTATGCCTGATGCATTGAGCAAAACAATCCCAATATGGTGTTGTGTACTAAACCGGGTTTTCTTCCCCGATCTTCCAACCGCTCATACGCTCTACTCTCCCCCACAAGTAGTTTCCGATTCCGAGCAAGCCCAAATGGCCAATCTGATTCCTCAATTCGTGCAAGCATTTCAAACTCTCAATCTTCCTATTGAATCTTTCCACGAGAAGATTCACAAACCCATCAGACCCATTTGGGTAACTCCCGAATCTCAAATTTCGGAAACAAGCGAGATCTTTGAGGATTTTCATCCAGTTATTTGCTGTACCGTTTCGCGCAGGGTTTCAGGCGGGGAAATTAGTGAGGGCGGTTATATCCAAGGCGCAGGCGACGATACGGAAAATTGGGCTCATGGACTTACTCCTCATATTTTCTGGACAAATCAAGAAGTCCTATTCGAGACATCGGAAGAAGATTTACCTGGAGTTATTGAAGCTTTGATACATCAAACAAGTTCATCACTCGGGTCTAATCATAAACTCCGCATCGTAAAACCCACTTCCTGTCTCTCCATCTCGACTGTCGATGCGCTTCCACTTCTCAACAATAATACCAATACCTGCACCATCGTCCTCCTACCAAAACCCACCCCCGAAGAAACGTGGCCCACCTCTCCCTCCCGTCTCGATATCGGACTCGGCTCCAAAAAAATAGGAAGCAAGAATCTCCGCGTCGCTCTCCCAATTATCTCTTCTTTCTTCCTCAAGTATCTTGATACATATTCTGCAAACAAACTCTCCGACCCTTCAATACAATTACAAATCATCATCGCGTGCGAATCGGGACAGGATCTCTCAATAGGTGTTGCGCTTTCTCTGCTGTGTCTTTATTTCGATGATAAGGGGGATGTGAAAGTTGGGAGAGGAGAGGTAAAGGAAGAAGAGAGGTTGGTGAATAAAGATTTTATCCGTAGGAGACTAACGTGGATTTCTACTTCGATGCCGGATGCGAATCCGAGTCGGGCGACGTTGCAGAGTGTGAATAGTTTTTTGATGTCGGGGTGATTGATGGGGAGTTGAGGGGAAGGGAAGGGAAGGGAAGGGAAGGGAAGGGAATGGTGTGGGCTTCTTGCTGTTGGGTTGGGATGGGATGGGTTGTGTTGTGTTATGATATTTTATGTTATGGGAATAGAATTAGAATTAGAAGTAAAGGCTGTAGGGTATTTGAATATATGAGTGCCTCTCTTTTGATTTCTTAATAGATAGAACAGAAGAAAAAAGAAATCGGATTTACAAAACATAAAGTTGATTATGAAAGTATAAAAAAGGAATATAACAAATTATATAATAATCTCATAGAACTACTGATACTAATCTTAATTCTAGAATATAGAATAAAGAATTTATAATATAGAATATAGAATATAAAAAGATTAGAATATAAGAATATATATTATACATTATCTATATTCACATCTCTAAATTTCCTATATCCCATATCCAATCTAACCCTAAAATTGGAAATTGAAAATTTTCATCTACGATTCGACTCTTCCTCTTCCATTTCTATTTCCATACCAATCGAGCCTCGACATCCCATCCTTAATCATAACTATCACTTCTGACTTCCGCGTAAAACAAATATTGAATTGACTACCTACCTACCTACATACTCCCTTCCTGTACATCCTACCCGAGTGCATAGATCTAATCATATACTGACTACATGTGGACAGCACGTAAATATCTATACGCGAAATAATAAACCAACTCCTTAAGCTTCTGTACATGTATGTATGTACACATACAAATTCCAAATTCCGAAAACTGGTTCTCCGTTGATTCTTTTGAGATATCGATATATTCATTGGATCCAATCATAATTTCCCATTCATTTCTCGGAATTTGATTGGGAAAACTTGATGTGAATGGGTTTTTGTCCTGGGGTAGGATTATAAAATAACTAATAGATTATATTAATCAACTATATTTTCCAGTATTAATTATTATATCAAAGAGAATAGATATAATATACTTTTCATATGATTAGTCCTATTTAAAAATCAAGAATCAAAAATTCAAACTGCAAATTACAGATCTCAGGTCTCAGATTATAATGACATGATATGTGTTTTGATATCAACTGATTGACTCTATCGGGTCTATTAGGTCAAATAAAGTTGTGTGATAGGTTATGTATGACTTAACTACTATATCAAATCCCTATTCCTATTCTAGGGAGAAGGGAGGATGATATATACATGTACGTATGTAGAGTATGTATACTTATAAAGAAAAGGAGATATTAAAGTATGAGGGGAATCAAACATTCGACAAGTTAAAACAGGAACATACAACAAAATAATTACAACATCCATTCCAAAGACAACCATGATCTCCAAAAATAGGAATTAAAAATAACAGTAAAACCTAAATAAGCAAAGCGCAGCAAAGAAAAGCAAACCCCTTCAAAATACCCACCCATTACTCCTCCTACTTCTTCCATCCACTTTTTGGAAAGTGACCTCAAGCTTCACCTTCCTACGAGCCGAGGGTTCCCTAGCCCTCTCTCTATGTCCATAATTCCATTCCCAATCCGGAGAATCTGCACTATTATTCCTCTGCCTGCTTTCCTTCCCCCGTTCCTTTTCCCGCTTTGCCTTTTCCCGCTCCTCCTTCTTCTCTCTTTTATCTTTCCGCTTCTTCTCTTCCCGCTCCTGTATTTTTATCTGTTTCTCTTCCAACCTTTCGCGACTCTTGTGGTTCCCCTTGCGTGGTCTCTCCTGTCTGTACTCTGAGCTGAAAGCTTCCCTTACCTTGTTAAATCTTGAGGATTTTCGGTCTCTTTCTTTCGGCTCTTCTGCTTGTGTCGGTGCACGTGAATGTGTATGTATACTTGAGATTGAACTCCCACTACCGGCTGTTAAAGAAGGTTGGTAAAAGGAGGTAGCTCGTCCCGAGACATCTAATTCAACGCCGGAGCTCGAGTCCAAGGTAGCAACTCTGTATTTTTTGCGACGGGGGAGGAAGCCTGGGAAATTTCTAGTATCTCGCTCGTATTCGGAGAGTGCGAAGCTTTTGTTACTACGAGGTCGATATTCCCTGTGCCGGTCATCGGTGGCTCTTTCCTGATTACTGCCGCCACGACTGCTGATACTAGGAGAACGTCTATAAGTAGAGTGAGACTCGGGCCTTGTACCCCTTTGATATTCGTTGCTAGATTGATAAACACTCTCCTCTCCCTCGTAGTTGGAGCGGGATCGGGAAGGTTCATCTCCCTTTGACTTGCCATTACTGATTTCCTTAAGGACAAGCCGACCCTTCTCATTCCAATCAAGTTTCCAGTGACTTTCGTTATGTACAGTTGCCCTGAATCTGCTGGTTGTATCGAGTCGCCTATGTACCGTTTGGTAGCTTTGGCCAGTGGTATTGTTGGTAATCCAAACTTTCTTGTTGCTCGACGTGTGGTCTTAGTTGTTTGTCAGTAAATGCTTATACTATATAGACAAGCAGTTAGCGCTTTGAATATAAGGTGAACTTACACGGCTTTTTCTGATCCTTTGGATGATATCTTGAAATGGAAAAGTTGTTTCTTCCATTTCTATTCCTCTCTTCTGTTATTCGCAAATAGGCCCACTAAAACGTTGGTTGGTTAATAGAAGTAACGATAGAGTCTGGGGGATCCAAAAGCTGTCTCCAGAGCGAGCTTACAATAGCCTTATCAAGTAATTGAGATTTGGGAATAGGAATTGAGGCCTGAGAGAATTTTCAATTGTGCTTACCTTTTTTGCATGAGGGTCAATTGAGAAATAGTCGACCAATGATTTCTCCAAGGTCGCCACATCCAATTCTACCTCGCAATCGTTGAGGACTTGCAGTTTGTGTTCTCCGAATTGATCTAGGGTTTGCGTTAGTTAAACTCCTCTTACTAACTTAAAACTCTCGACTTTGTAGCTCGCTGAAATAGCAACTCACATGGTGAAGTAACACTTCTCTTGATTATCTCGGTTCTAGCGCTAGCAAGCCAAGGCAGATCAACTTCAGCTCTAGCTGTAGTCCAATGATGGGGGTTTACACGTTCATCATGTTTACGTTCCTCATCTTTACGTTCATAAAGCTTGTATTTCTCTCCGTTTTCTTCTTCAACATATGTCCAGTCTCCTTCTATAGTCTTGGGATGAGGCCTTCTGTGTACGAAATGCTCTCTCGCCTTATTCAAAATGTCTTCTCGAGCATTTGGATTATCTGTTGTGTTCAAGACATAGCCAGAGCCGAGCAAAGTGTTATCTATATATTCAGAGCACATCAGTCACCCAACATTTTACTCTACAGATGATGATGTTGACTTACATTGCATCCATATTCCTTGGGGGTGTTTGAAATCTCCAGGTGGCCCTTCTGCGTCTGACAATTATTAGCAGAGTGTTGCAATGAAATGACTTGCCTCAACGAGACATACAAACATCGTATGTATAGAGTTGTGCTACATGATTTCTCTGATCCACTGTCCACTTGATGGTATGGCTCGCATTATTATGACCGAATCTCGACCGTGCTTCGTCTTTATCATAAATTTTCCCGATTAACTCCCTAACTAAAGACGCTCTTATTGGGCTCCAGGAGACATTTCGAACTTGAATGCGAATTTTGCTTTCAGATTTCCGAGAGCTTTCATCATCCTTACCACCTCGGCGACAGCTCTTGTAAGTGTCTAGTGATTAACAGATACCAATGGTCAGCCAACAGAGCTTCAGTAGCGTCAGAACATAGTAACTCACAAGTCCTGGTAGCATGCTTCTGCTGCTCGGCAGTGCCTACCTTCTCTGAGTAGTGAACATTCTCGTCATCATGATGCGACGACATATCGAAGGGATTCAGTGCTAGGGGCAACTCTGTTCGACACTGTGGATACTGGAGTTACAGATAAATTATGCTTGAAAAGGGAGATGCGAAGATGTACTAACCTAGCATTATATTAGGCACAGGGTTTTCCAACAAGACCTCTAAATTGGGCTGCGCGATTCTTGTGTACTCGTTCTCAGTTAGGCTCAGAGACCTGTTTACATTCAGATTACATGTCTATACCCATTGATCCTGGTGGCGCAGTGATTACCCCAAGGGCTCACTGACCCTGTGGCCGCGACAAAGCCAAGGTATAATGCTTTTGAAAAACTTTCATGAGATTGTCCCGGCCGATTTCTCCGATATAATGTGCATGGGGCTAAAAAATGGCATTAGAAGCCAGCATCCACATCGATGATGTACTATTTTGGCATGAAACGCTATATTTTTGCAATTGGGACATTGACCGTATGTTATTGGGGGTAGAATTGTCTATATTGTATGAAGCTTTGACATGAGAGTTGAGGTTCAACGGGGTCTCATGCTGCCCTTAGGTAGAAAGCGTCCTTTGCTAACGGCCATGTGGGTTGACCTCAAACGGTTCTTTCATCTGTACAAGAAGAATCGCCATTAAAATGCTAGGCTCCAGCTTCACTCATCATAACAATCGAGTCTCAAATTCTGAAGACCGGTCGTGCCAGCACATCAGAGGTAATTTCATAGTTATCAGTCAAAGTTGAGGAACATCAAGCACATACACAATGTAATATGAATCCCAAAATATGCTCCCAAAAATGAACATCAGACTGCAGCGCAGGATGCGAGATGAGAACCGGCCGAAGTCTGGTCATTCTTTTCAAGCGCGCGGCTCATACTGTGTCGACCGACCAGACCGGAGGATACGAGTGAAGAAGCTGTTTACCGTTGGTTCTCTAAAGACCCGCGGGACCTTGTACTTGCTAGTATGTCGAATGATCGTGTGCATGTTGATCATCATTCATAGAGACCTCTGTTGTTTGATGTCCTCTGGTGCTGACAATATTGTTTGAACACTAGCCCTATATTCAATCTAGTGCCTTGTTTACACTTGTAAAGTTATTGGCAATTGTCAGCAACTAGAAAACCACTGAAGAACGATGGTGTACAATTGAATTCTGTGATGTCGGCGATCAGTCTTATTATGAATCTTGATTCCAAAAATGCAACTGCAAATGATGAGCGACTTTACAATTTGAGAGTGGCTGATGACTATGTTGTAAGTGTTTGCGGTGGCTGATAGGTGGATTTTTCATCGCTACCACCACCCCGCACCTTATCGTTCTCTTATCGCTTTCTTCTCCCAACTCCCTTTTACGAAGTAAACGAAACGAAGATAGGAATTACCTTCACACCCATCAGGAAGACAACTCGAACATACATTTTCTGTTAGAGCGAGCTTCGAATTACTTCTACCTTGCTTCAGATACTCTTCCAAAGCTTGATCAAAACTTCGGACAAGCTACAAACACCAAACACCAAACATCCCACATCCCACATCATGGCGGCGGAAAACTACGAAGCTGCAATTACTTTGATTGATGAAGCCCATGCTCTAGATCCAACTATCAGCACAATAAATGGCGAGAGTATACCATACGAGCTTCACTATGCTCGAAAAATGACACATTATCTCTCTCTCCGCGCTCCCAATGCTTCTCCCATCCTCAAAGTTGCCATCCGAGCACAGCATTTTCGACGCTGGGAAGTACCACGATCCTCCTACCCGATGACCAAGCCCGGGTATCTGAATTGGAGGACCTTTCTCAAGAAACGACAAGCGGATCTCGCATCAGCGATATGTGTTGGTTGTAATTTTACAAGTGAGGAAGCGGACGAAGTGGCTAGATTGATAAGGAAAGAAGATCTGAAGAAAAATGATGAGACGCAGATCTTGGAGGATGTTGCCTGTCTAGTGTTTCTGGATGATCAGTTTGATGCTTTTGAGAAGGGTCATGATGAAGACAAGATTATTTCGATTTTGAGAAAGACTTGGGGGAAAATGAGCGAGGAAGGACATCGTTTGGCCTTGCAGATACCGATGAGCGACACCAGTAAGGATTTGATCGAGAAGGCTTTGGGATAATTCATCATTGGTTGCTGAAGTGATAGAGTGGTATTAATTCAATGTTATGGTGTAAACACTTGTTTATGTGTTAGTATATTGATTTTGGTTAAGCAGGCTACAAAAGACCGGAATGGGCTGGGTTGGTGTAGGTTAATACTCCATGGCGAATGGGCAATTGGTACTGATTACTGGTGTCTAAAAAGCTCACACATAAACTGATGACAATTATGGATTGGAACAAACGGCGGACGATATCTTCACAACCTAAATTTCTACTTTTCAGAGGACATCAAAACCGCTGCTATCGACCTTCAGATTGTGTTGTCAACTATATGATGTATCTACAGTATATCGAAAGGCGGCCTGTTCAAGCGAGCAGTCCTATCTATCTGGTTATTCTTCACATTTCTTTCGGTTTACCATCGAACTCCATAACACCATTTACAATCGCTTTCTCTTCCGCTTCCACAGATACCCCTCTGCCTTTCTACATGTCCACCTTACCCACTTCAGCGATCTTCTGCAACTTGTCATGGACCAGTAGGCCATAAGTACCCAACCACTTAACCCACTCCTCTTCCGTCGCCCCAAACATGTGTTTTCCACAAATAGGTGGCATATTTCTTAGTTGACAATATAACCGCTGTAGCTCAAGGCCTGTAAGACCATTCTCAAGAGAATCATAGACCCATTCCTTGCAAGTGTCTGTATCCCACTCTCCCATCTGCTGATACTTGAACTCGCCAGGCACATAGAAGGGATTGTCTTCCAGACAAGGGTTGACTTTTTGAGAGACGACGGATGAGGCGCTTTTCTTAGTGGGTTCTTCTTCTCTGGATTGTGCGGACTGTCCGCGTTGCGCTGCAGATTCCCTGGCCTGTGTGGATCTTCTCAATCGTTCTCTTGCTTGCTCCTTGGATATTTCATCCTCTTCTTTCAACTGGTAGTATCGTAATACCTCTTCTCCTGCTATTGTGAATTGCAAGTCCAGCGCCTTCAACTTCGACTTCAACTGTTCTATCTGATGATCTCTCTCGTACTTCGCCCTTTCATCACAATAACGCCATCCTTGCTGCAAGCGCATGTGAGTCTCACGACGTGCTTGCTCATCCGGCGATGAAGGATACAATTTTGCATATTCCGCATGTACTCGTCTTTCTTCTGCTCTTGACAAGTCTTTTCTCTTCTTCCTCTCTTTGTAATCGGCCTTAACTTGGCTTATTTCGTTTTCAATCTCCTTTTTTTCAATATTTATCTTTTCCTTCTCTCTTTTCGTATCCTCATGAATCATCTTCTCCATCTCTCTCTTTTTCTCCTTCGCTAGTCTTTTCCCCTCTTCTCTCATCTTCTTTTTTATCTTTCTCATCTTCTCTTCATTTTCTTTCTCGATTTTCTCAATCTCCTTGGTCTTCCTCTCAATCTCTTTCTGCTTTTCATTCTCGGTTTTCTTCTCCTGTGCATTCAAATTTGACTCCGACTTTGAGAATTCGAATATTGAAAATATCGATTCTTTGACCGGCTTCTCACGAGCCTTCTCGGAGTTCTTCTCGCAACCTAATATGTATGAGTTACTTCTCTTCTTCTTGATTTGCTACTAGAATTCTTACCGTTTTCTTGAAAGAGACCTTGCCTTTCATTATCGTTTCCTCGTTGACTACTTCCTCTCGGTTGAAAACTTGCTTCCAGCATCGATATGTAGATGGGCGCAGTGGACATTTTGACGTCGTCGATGCTGAGAATTAAGATTAAAAATTAAGTGATCTATATTTGTATGTTTGTATGTATGTATGTGTGTTTGCATGTGTGTAAACGACAGTGAACTTGATGAGAGAAGTCCAAGTTGTGTTTCGGAAGAAGAAGGGAGGTGGGAGAGAGGTAGAGAAAGATATCCCATCTATTAAACAGGAGCTAGCCAACCAACTTTTCAGTCTGCTAATCCAGTTCTGGTTGTGAGAACTTATCCTTCGGTGGTATAGTGTAACTCGAATCAATGCAATTTTGATGTAAAATCCCATTCCAAGTTCAACCCCTTCGCCAATAAAATACATATCCAGGTTTTTAAGATTTCACTTAGAAGACTAATTACACATACTAACTAGGATCCAATGGCACATGCACGACATAACGGGCCTGTAGCGCATTTTTTAGTTGATTTACTCGAGTAAAGTTGCCTGGGCTGGTTCATGCCGGATTTTTTACTTCTTGGCGAAAGTTAATTTGATGTCTGGTCTCGAACGTTCCAGATATTGAAACTGGTATTCGGGGGTTTCTTGAGGCCGTGTAATCATTTTATGAGTAGATGGGAGAGGGATGATTCTATTCATTTTGCATTCTATGACTTGAGATGAGAATTTTGGTAATTGGGAACATATGGTGTGAAAGATGTCAAAAATTCGTGGTGGAATAGGAGGGGGCAGGTTGCCAAGATGTGAGTGATGTCGCTAAGCATCATATATTGATTCTTGGGATTTTACTACTGCCATGATTATGAAAAGAATCAGATTCGGACTCGATTAAACACGTACTCATGTGGGTCTACATACCCGTCGCTGTAGTGACAAAGACAACTCTTCTTCATGGTCACTGCTAGGAGCCTTTCGACGTATGTTATGATGAGATTCTGTTGATGGAAAATGCCTAGGTTGTGTTCAGATCAGCTACATTTCACAAACAATTTTCTTGTAGAAAGTAAAGAATATCAGAGATTGCAAAATGAATATCTGAATGAGTTGTCTAATGACCTCAAAACTACGTACCCTAACAGCGGAATTCTCTTGGCCAACTAAATATGCACGCATTTACACCCTCCCAATCTCGATCATACCAACCCAGCACTTTCGCAAAGTCTCGTGCTCTTCCCACCTTCATCTATTAATAGTAGAAAGCACACAAGGCCAAGGTTCAAGTCAGAAAGGCCAAACAAAGAACAAAATTAACGAACGAATCATCTTCAATATCTCATTTGCTCAGCGTATCAAAATGAAGCAGCTGATCCCGATTCCCTTCCCAATATCATCCCCAGATTATGTAAAGACGACATCAAATCAATAACTAATGCGAAAATATATCAAAAACTCGCATCCCAATCTTAATATCGATTCCCTCCAAAACAAACCACCCAAAGGAAACCAAATAACATCAAGCTCCATCTATCTCCATCGGAAACTTTGCCTACCAGCCATCCCCAATCAAGCAAGTCCATCCTTCCTAAACTTTTTCTCAATAAACTCAGCCTTAACCATTCTTCCAGTATAGTTGAAGAACCCAGCTTGCAATTGCAACCACTGTGTACTCCTATGTTTCTCCATCAAATACTCCAAAGTTTCGCAATCTTCCGCTGACCATATCTTATCCGGTCGAAGATGTGCCTGCTGATGACCATGACCATTTTCCTGCCTGCGTTCTTCCTGTTCCTCATCCTCATCATCTCTTTCTCTATCAAGTTCTCCATAAGACTTGCGCTTCTTTTTCTTTTCTTGTTTTGGAGCAGATGCAGTGTATGTCTTGGATTTGGGTTGATGGTAAGGGCAACTTGGTGAGATGTAGATTTCCTCTTCCGTATCTTCATTGTCGACTTGTGCGGTACACTTGTTCTTCTGCTTCTTCTCGACTTTCTTGGGTTTTTCTTCTACCTCTGCCTTTTCCTCTTCGTCCTCGGTCTTTTCTTGTTCTTGCAAAAATTTGTATCTTGCTACTACTTCTTTTTTGCTAGTACCTAATTCCCCAGAAATTTCCTTCCAGGTCTTGTTTTCCTTCTTCATGGCCATAATTTTTGAGTCTTGTTCTTTGGCCCATTTATTCCCATCGACGGGCTTTACCTTGTCATCCTTCTTGTTTTCCTTAGTCTCGGTAGTTTCTTCGGCAGCCTTTTCTGTAGGTTTATCAGTAATAGAAGGGGTCTTCTCTTTGGAATCTGTGGCTGTGACTGTGGTATCAGCGCTTGATTCGTCAGGCTTATTAGTAGTAGAATCGGGGTCATCCTCGCCTTTGGATGTTTCCTTGACATCTTTATCTTCCTTCTTATCCTTGCCCTTGTCTTTATCTTCCTTTTCCTTTCCCTCGACTTCGACCTTGACGATAACGACTTCCGGTGAGGGTTTATTGTCTTTATCTTTGTCTTCGGTGCTTGGGGCTGCAGCTATTTCGATGGCAACATCAGCTTTGGGCTTTTCGGCCTTTGGTTTCGTCTCCTCAACCACCTTCACTCCCTGTTCTTCACCCTCTCCATCTTTCTGTAAATTCAATACATGCTCACCCTTATCATCATCGGGCTTAACCTCAACTACTTCTTCATTCTTCTCTTCCTTTGTCTCTTCCTTCTTCTCTTCCTTCGGCTGTTCCTTCTTCTCTTCCTTCTTCTCTTCCTTTACTTCCTCCTTGCTTTCTGCCTTCTTCTCCTCCTTACTCTCCTCCACAACCGTCTCCAAAACTTCCTCCGAGATCTTCGCCTTAACACTCACCACCTCTCCCGCACTCCCACTTCTACTTCTTACATGCCCATGCTTCTTACTAACTTTCCTCACAACAAGCATTTCCACTTCTCCCACCATTCCATCTTGTTCCCGATCTTCTAGGATAACAATATTTCTTCCACTTTTATCCTTCGTAGCTGTTGCTCTGATGCGATTATCATTTCTCTGGCGCGTGGCTGCAGCAACAGCATTATTCGGGTTGGGAGAATTGATGGAGAGGAGTGAGCCGCCCAAAACCCAGTCTGTGAAGGAGACGTGAATCTTGCCCTTGGTTTTGGGTTTTGCGAGAGCGCTGGTGAGAGGAGATTGGGTGGGAGTTGGTGATGATGGCGGCATGTTGGCTGTTGTAGAGTTTTATTCAGGTGGTTCTCTTACTCTTATTTAGATTTCAATGTCGATTTCGATTTCGATCTTAATTTCTAGTTGAGATGGAAGATCGAAGATAAGATAACACCTGTTACTGCCAAAAGTAAGAGGATAAAAAAGATTTCTTGATTCACCTCGTTGTATTGAATGTAGCGTAGTAAAAGTCCAGCGACGAATATTGACCCAAGAATTGTTATCTCGATGATAAATGCAACTGCTACTTGCTCCGGCATCAAAAAGCGAGTCTCAATTTGAGAAATATTCTGCGTTTTGATTGATGGCGAGGTTGCAAGGTGAGAGTGAGATAGCCAAGAAAGAGGGACTTGAGAAGGTTGTTTGGTTAAAGCAATTATTTATTCGTTACTGGGGCAATAAAGACTTCAATATTGTTGCAAAGAAGAGACGAGAGTAAGTTGTTTACTCAAGGCTCTGTTTTATTTTTCAACCCCAACCACAATAACAACCATACCTATGCAAAGAAAAGACAAAGGGGACACAAGGGAACGGGGAAAGTGGGAAAGGAAAGGTAGAAAAAGAAATTGCTCTTGGGATTTTGAATTATAAAATTGTGTCTTGTTATGGTCTGAAGACATCGGCCCGGTGACCAGCAGCGTTGATTGAAGCTTTTGACTACAAAAGCATCCATGCATCTTGTGAAGAGTGATCAAAGTGAAGTTTGGACAGGAGTGAAAGAAAGTATAAACCTTCTATGGAATATATGGAGGTCATCATTTTACCAATTATAGAACAATTGGCGTCAAATATCAATTGAGAGGATAAAACTTATACATGGAAGAAGCAGAGATATAATTTTGGATGGCTCCTTCACTGGTGTCTCGGGAGCTGTTCATGAAAATCTGTGCATGATGGCCTGGATCTCCTTTACTTTCGTTCATGGTCTTTTTTGCCATCTCAGCATATTGGTAGCACTCCTATTCGGATATGCTAAACGAAGTATAACACACCTAGTCCAGAGGCCACCTACCAACCCGGACTAAAAATCGCCCCATCTAAAACCATTATTTGAATGAAGACTTCAATTTCTAGAGATTTTCCCACGAGAATTTGTGGCATCTTAAGAACATGCCAATGTGAAATGTTGTACGAGGTGTACGGGGTGAATGGAGTAAATGGAAAGGGGCTGAGTTCAATATCAACGGAATGGCTGGATAACACGGGCATGATGAGTGAACGTATCTTATTATCCAAGGAAAGAGGCTCAAGTGATGCTATACCATGTCACTAAAGATAATAGTAATCGAGACAGCCAAAAGGTCTTCAGTCAGCTTAATAATTGACTCTGGTCTTCTGATGACTTATAGACAATACGAGATACTGTAGTCAGTAGGAACTTATCTTGTGACGATGATAGAGCTTGGAGATCTTTAGGGCGTGCTTGTTGAAAGTATCTAAACATTGAGATATTTCAAATTGGTAACGGTGTACTTACTAATGTGCTATATAAATGGGAGAAACCAGCCTTCTGCCTTCCTGGCAATGGGATGTTTTTGGCAATAGGTAAAAGTTTGGCTTGATACCAGTTGTTCACCACATATCACTACTGCCTCAATTGTGTTGTTGGGAGTGGTAAAGTCGGCGGGCAGAATATTTTAACATTAATCCAATGAGCCGATTCTTTGTGGAACAGAGGCCTCGGCGAGCCGGTCGAATGAGTTATAGTTCACGTCGTCAATCTGAGGATTAGAGGAGTGTTGCCGAAATATGACTAGGAGTGACTACTTAACCGTGGTACATGCTGCTTTGAGATTCCAACTGACACCCGTTCCCAATCTAGCAGTGCAGCTTTCGCAGCTCCCTTAGATGACCAAATCCGGGAGTCAACTTCGTGCTTTGCATACATTACAATTGCGTCAACCAGTAAGTAGAGCTGAAACATGACCTTGTAATATAATATTGTTGGATATATGAAAAGAGATAACCTATAACGTGTAGGTTTATGTCCATCGGAAACTTCTTGTCCTGCACGCCCGGTATGCATCCAGACTGTGACTAACACGATCGCCTTTCCAGCCCCATCGCAAACACATTGTGCCCTACTACACCGACAGTGACGGCGTACCCAGATTTTTTCACAGCTTGCGAGGAAGGATGTTGAATAATCAGCGAGAATGTCACTATAACATTGGCAGAAAGAGTGATTCTTCAACGAGAGTGATTTCAATCATCTGGACTGTAGTCTAACATCGAACACGATTTCAATGTGGAAATCCTTGGAAGACTAGTTTGAAAAGCTCGAATCCGGAGAGTGAGCTGGCTCATTAAAACTCATGCTTGAAGGTGGTAGGGAAAGGGGTTTTTGTATTATCACTTGGGAGTGTACGGCCATGTCATGATCATGGCTGTGATGAATTGATAGTGCAGAAACATTCATTTGAAGTCCATGGCAAGGAAATAGATAATTTGAGCAAAGCAGACGCGCCTTTTCGAAGCAGTGTTCTAGTAACACCATTAGCAGCCCAGTCAATTGATTGGCTGCCTGTCCACTCGGATCACTAAGCACTCGAACATAGTAGAGCTCTATGAATGTGAATAGTTGATCACCAGTATAACTTTGTCTATCAATATTCTTGTAATAACATGAACTGTATTGAGTGTTATTCAAAGTAGAAATTGGAGGTGAAGCTTGGTAGTGTTAGCTGTACTCGATTGGATGACATGAAAGCACGTGAATTCTCGCTAAAAGGTCCGAACTTTTTCCCCACCATAATGCAATTTCGAAAAATTTGATTCCCAAACCTCATCATCGACAAATCTACGCCAAACCTCACCATTAGAACTTTATCAATTCTACTGGAAGACTGTCATCATGTCTAAAATCACAGTCGGTATGTTGTTGCCCTCCGCATTTCGCCAGAAAGAACTTCCTCATTGAGAAAATCAATTGAAACAAATACTAACGTATTCGCCTCACAGCCGGAGTGCGTACCAACGTACAAAGTCTTCTTGAGTACTCTCTCGAGACCAAGAAGAGAAACTTCCTCGAGACCGTCGAGCTCCAAATCGGCCTCAAGAACTATGACCCCCAACGTGACAAGCGTTTCTCTGGAACCGTCCGTCTCCCAGTCGTTCCCCGCCCAAACATGAGCATCTGGTATGTCCACGAAATCGAATATATATGATATGGGAGGCAAAGGCTGATCGATGGATAGCATTCTCGGTGATCAACACGATATCGATCGTGCCAAGCACGGTGGTGTTGACGCCATGTCCGCTGATGACTTGAAGAAGCTCAACAAGAACAAGAAGTTGATCAAGAAGCTCGCACGCAAGTACGATGCTTTCGTCGCATCCGACACCTTAATCAAGCAAATTCCCCGTCTCTTGGGTCCCGGTCTTTCCAAGGGTTTGTTCTATATGTCTCCAATCTTCTACGATTTTTACTGACATATCTTTTCACAGCTGGTAAATTCCCAACCCCAGTCTCCCACAACGAAGATCTTAGCGGTAAGATCAACGAAGTCAAGTCCACCATCAAGTTCCAATTGAAGAAGGTCTTGTGTATGGGTGTTGCTGTTGGAAACGTCGAGATGACTGAGGACCAATTGATCTCCAACATTATGTTGTCTATCAACTACCTCGTCTCTTTGTTGAAGAAGGGATGGCAAAACGTTGGCAGCTTGACCATCAAGGCATCTATGTCCCCACCCAAGCGCCTCTACTAGATTACCCTTCTCTTTATTGAGCAAGTGGTATGCAGTGGGATTATTGCGAGTAGTTGAGTAAGAAAAACTAAATACAAGCAATGAACGTTCTACAGCCAATCATATTTTTGTTCCACTATGTGACATTGAGACTTGAGATGATGTAAAACTTTTGAATATATTTATTATGATTGTAATTGTGATGATGTTAACATTTGACTACACGCGGCTTCTTTTCTCTTCAATTGCGCGCCTCCGCGAACGCTGAATTGCCGGCTCTACAAATCCGACTTTGCGAGAGCCCCGACGCACAACCTGCGACACAGCTGTAAATCCAACACAACTACCATTGCACGAAAGAGATCCTTGGAAGAGCATAATGTTGCATAGCAAACGTTGCTGAATCTGAAATTCCATTTCCTTGGCTCTACTGTATGGAGAACATGCAATGGCTGCCTATTCATGAGCGAGTACAACATGTCCTTAATAAGCTTGCATAGTTCGGCAGTATGATTACTTGTTCCTGTCAGAGAAACCAACGATGAAGACCTTTGGACGCTGCAAACACAGCAGAAATGTTCGGAGTACACAGCTTCGAAAATGCATCACTTTTACACACAAGATTTTCTACTACGGAAATTTACTACCTACTATACCTCTCACCACATACACACGGCAGCAGACCACGTATATATATGTATACTAGGCTGTTATACAAGTGCACAAAGCAATATAAGTTTATCATAGAAAGCCAATTTTGCAACATCGTTACTCATTGTGCACTTGTTTTCTTTTTCAAAAGCAATTGAACAAAAGTAAGGTATGTAGAGACCACCCCACAGTCAAAATCCGATAGAATCGTCGAAGACGGCTGATAAGGAAGAGTGTTCACCTTCATTCAAGGGGGCCGGGAACGGAAGAAAACCCAACTTTTACTTCGAAGAAGTAAAGGATAACCCTCAGCAAGTCGCCGTAGCGAAGCCCCCATGTAAATGTTATAAGTATTAATTATAACCTCTACTGATGATGAAGAAGAAAAGAAGAGGGACGGTGGGAGGTGAGCGAGATATTTATACTGAAAAAAAATTCGTTAGCTTTTTTAGCGCGCTTTAGGGTGCATTTTGCCCTGTTTGTCCAGTGAATTATGCACGTGATAAATGAGACTCTTGTGACTCAAGCAAAAAGTACAAATCAGCCTCATACACAAGCAGGCATTCATATCATCATCCAATTCCGAGTCCCGAGGGAGAGGTTTCTCCATATATTGAAACCTCAGACAACTGCTTGTCAAATACCTACTTCGTATAC